AGGCCGGGCTAGCGTGAGCTGAGGCAGCGGGGTCGAGAACGGCGCGCCCGGAGGATCCGACGAATGAGGCTGGACTCCGCTTCGTCCACGGTGAAAGTTGATGTATTCCCTCAGCGACCAGCACAGATCAGCTCTAGGCATGACGAAGCGGATATCGTCCTCTTTTGGAAGACCAAACAAAGTAGTTTCGCTTTCACAACGAAGCACACAGCGTCTTCACGACATGGCTGCAGCGTCAACAATACTACAGTGAGAATAAAAGTTACGCCTTCTTTCTTTGCGTGAACATTTGGGCGGTGTTATGCAAATCTTCCCACATAGTGAGGTAGATATGTGGGGGCGTGTTAGAACGAGCCGTTTTAGGTAGGTGTGGCTGACTCTGAACTTTTATAAAGAATATCTCTTTGGATTTGAGACTTTAGTCTTTGCAACTTTACAGATCTTCTTTATGCACCAAGAGCTTGTAACACTCCAAAGAGAAAGGAAAAATTGAAATCGCATCATATGACCCCTTTAAGAGAAAGAAATCCTGGTTGAATGTGCATTAGTTTTTTGAATGATAAGCTGGATATTTTCCAACTAAAAAAAGTGCTGTATGACCTTTCAAACGCTATTCTTTCTCTCGCTGCTCTTTTATTCCCCTTGTATTCTGATATTACCACAGAAATTGCTTCTCACACTCCACCAGTTTAACATCTCGCCACTGGCCCTGGGATGAGCTCAGAAACTGTTTCCTGTTGACAGGCTGTTTGTGGTTCTTGTTGGACTCACTCTCCTGGAGTCTTTGGTCAGTGACCCGGCAATGAGCTCTGGCCAAGAACTCTTTCCACCCACAGGGAACTAACCTTCATTACTGAGCGTACAATCCTTCTCACTGACCTCAGACCTGCTTTTTGGCTTTTATAGCATGTGTGTTTTGCTTGTTTTTTATTTTTTCACTTGTTTTTTTATTTTATTTATTTTGTATTATTTTTTGGTTGTGCTGTCTTATTGGTATTTGTTTCTTTTGTTTATGTATTTTTATTTTTTTTTTTATTGATTTTTATTTAGTTTTTATTATCTTTTCATTTAGTTTATGCTTATCCTCTTATTTATTAATGTTTTGTCAATGTTTGTTGTGCATATGAATGTAAAGGAACATGTTTTATTTTATTTTAGTTTGTTTTATTAATTTTATCTTTAATTTATCTTTTTTTCATTCATTTTTGTTTATTCATTTTTATTGTATAGTTGTCTTTAATTTTGTTTTTTATTGCTTTTTTGTTTAACTTTTTGTTTTGTTGTCTTTCTGTTTAATTTATAGGTTTAGGCTTTTGTTAATTTATATTATTCTTCTAATTTCGTGCAAATCACCGTATTGTATAGAGCACATGTGCATTCATGTGAACATTTTTGTACTGTAGATTGATTATTGGTTTGTTTATTGATTGAAAAGAACCCACAGTAGCAATTATAGAAAGTTTCAAAAGGCTAGTGATAAAACGGTTAACCACATTCCCACTTCCCATTATGTTCTCAGGTCTGGAGGTTTTATGGTAGATATTTATAAATAGGTTTTATCTGAAGTGAAAGGGTGTCCCGTGAAGAGGTGACAAGAGAGACGCAGACTCTTCCCTTGTCAATAGCGATAATTTACTGGCTTGTTTTCATCAGACAAGGATCTATAATTGAAATGACAAAAAAGATGCATCGCTACACAGTTGTTAGTGTTTGAGGCCATGAATTTCAGCCGAATACCTGACACCCGTTTCCTCTGGGCCTGTCAACCAAAAAGACCTTAGTCAGTCCAGTAAAAGGGCCCCTGGTCAGGGCTGTCTGCCATGCTGCCAGAATGAGTGGATCAGAGGAACGATGCTTTATCGACCTGATCGACCCGTCACTGCTCTGTACGGCTCCGACCTAAAGCCATGCATCTATATATCACTTTCACACTCTTATACACACACAGTGTCTGTCCACAGTCACACACACTTTCATACACGTGATTCTATTCACCACCTCTAGCACTTCACTTTTGTTTTATATTGTCAGTTTATTGAGAATATGAATCCCTGTTTAAAGAACTTTGAAATTCTTTGTCTTGGGTTTTTTTTTTTTTTTTGATTGTACCACATTAGTGGTAAATATTAAATGAAGTTCAAATACATTTTTATCATTGGATAGTTTGCCAAGTAGGGATGGTTCATGATTGTTTGTTTATTTATTTAGTGGTGTTGCTTTATTTAACAGAGTGCTTTAAGCAGTTTGCACTCAAGGATTAAAAAAAAAAGTATTTATGTAAATTCATCCCCTTAAAAGCCATACAGATAAACACAGACATCTGATTCAGACTTACAGATTTTGCAGTGTTTGTAGGAAATCTGTTAGTTCTAATCTATGCGGTAATGTGCTGTTACTCAATTTGCGTGTGAAGAGAACAATTTACACAAAAGTCTTAAAGCAATAGTAGCAAAAACAGCCCATTTAATTCTAATGGCCCAAGAGAGAGAGTGGGAAATGGTCATAAGCTAAATCATGACTCTTTCTAATGCAAAAAATATATATAATAATAATAAACTCGGGTATAAGATCAAATGTACTGTGAATGACCCCTTTAAATGATGACATTAAGCTGAACTGCTGCTTGTTTACACTTCAGTTTATTTTAAATAAGCACATGTCATTTGATCCTTGTTACTTTGATTGTTTTTCTTGATAAATGCAGACATGTGTTGACTAGTAATGCTCCTATCTATAAGTGCACGGCATTGAACACATTTATGTGCTTTCCAATAGGAGAAACCAGCCAAGCACCGCTGATATGCCGGGTAGGTCAATATCCACTCTGCTAGCATGCCTCTTATTCTCACAGATAAGACTTCTGTCTTTGTTTCATTCCACACAATAAATGACGTATTACACATTCATTGCATTAGACTGAAAGCATCTGACTTGAATGGCAACAGATCATTGGAATGTTTGCTTGAATCTGACATGTAATTTTCACTGTAGCTCAATTTCACAGTTGAAGTGACTTTTCACTAAAACTGTTCTTTGTATGGCTCCTCTGGGCCGTTTTACGGGCTGTCTACGTAACGTTTTCACACATCCAAGAGATGATCTTCTGGAAATTAGCTGTCATGGTAGAAGGGGCTCCTCAAACGAAATGTTAAGCGCAGAGAGGAGGATTAATGTAAACTTTTTTGGATGATGGCAGAATTAAATAGCTATTGACTATTGAGCAAATGTTAAATTGTGATTATCATGAAATCCTTTATTATTAATTTAATTACTTTATTTATTAATATGAATTATATACTATAATTAGTGCATATAGATATAAAGAAAGTGTGTATTTTATATATATATATATATATATATATATATATATATATATATATTTTATACCAAAAATCATTAGGATATTAAGTAAAGATCATGTTCCATGAAGATATTTTGTAAATTTCCTACTGTAAATATATTAAAACTGAATTTTTGATTGGTAATATGCATTGCTATGAACTTCATTTGGACAAGTTTAAAGACGGTTTTCTCAATATTTTTATTTTTTTGCACCCTCAGATTCCAGATATTCAAATAGTTGTATTTCGGCCAAATATTGTCCTATCCTAATAAACCATACATCAATGGATTTATTCAGCTTTCAGATGATGTATAAATCTCAGTTTCGAAAATTGACCTTTATGACTGGTTCTGTGGTCCAGGGTCAAATGATCTGTTTTATTGTGTTGTTTTTGTGCAGGTGAAGAAGGTTCTGACTTTGGAGATGGGCTCCAACCAGGCAGATCATAAAGGCCAAAGTGGTCTGTGCTTTGCTGTGGATTGGCTCCACGTCAAACCACATAACCTCTTGGCTGCTGGCTTATATGATGGTGATTTCATATGTTTTGCCTATAGGCCTCTTTGTCTATCTCAGGGGTAGGCAAGTTCGGTCCTAGAGAGCCGCAGTCCAGCAGAGTTCAGCTCCAACCCTAATCAGACACACCTGAACAAGCTAATCAATGTCTTCAGGATTACTAAGGCTATAGGCAGGGGAGGGTTTTTTTCAGGGTTGGAGCTGAACTCTGCAGGACTGCGGCTCTCTAGGACCGAACTTGCCTACCCCTGGTCTATCTAAACAGAATTGCTAATTGTAAATACCTTGGTTTATATATATTGCAGTATTTTATGTTTGTGATTGTTTTTCTTTTCCAGGTCTGGTTGGTTTGTGGGATCTTGCTAGTAAATCTACACTACTGAAAGTCAGGTCTCCAGATGGTGGTGTGTCTCTCTACCCTTACCACTGTTTCCATGCTCACGATGAGAACATCCGGACCCTGTGCTGGTGCAGAGCCTCAAGGTGAGAATCATCAGTGTAGCATCATATGTCAGATTAGACGGACTATGAGGTTGGTTAGTTTTTTGATTGGTATTAAAGATTTCTATTTAAAGATTTTTCTGTTGAACTTTCTGTTGATCAAAGAATCCTGGAACAAAGTGTCATGGTTTTCAGAGAAATTTTAAGCAGAACAACTGTTTTCAACATCGATAATAAGAAGAAATGTTTCTTGAGCACCAAATCAGCATTTAGAATGATTTCTGAAGGATCATGTGACACTGAAGACTGGAGTAATGGCTGATAAATTACATATAAAAATATATTCAAATAGAAAGCAGATTTTGATCATATTTCACAATATTACTGTTTTTATCAAATGAATGCAGCCCTGATTAGCATAAGAGAAAAACATTTAAAAATCTTAATTATTTTAAACGTTAGCATAAGTTTGTTTAAAAAGGAGATTCTTGATTTTACCAGAATATAAGCTGTGAAAATATTGTTATGCTAACACCTTTTGTTATGCCTGATATATTTGATTGTAACATCCAGTGTTATTTATTTTATTGCCATTCGTAGTGTATTTAAATCTTCATGTATTACATTAGCTGTATGATATTCATGCTATAATACAGTTCACCCATGGAGTTTTCTCGTTTAGTAACAGATAAGCAGTCTAGATCAAATACATTACCATTCCAATCATGTGTTTTTTCAGCATCAGTAGTTTCAGCAGCCTGCTCTTAGCACTTACATTTAAAGCACTGTGACCTTATAAGAGGCTCCTTTAAGTGGCATTAGAGAAGTTTATCCTATCCCATTCACCACAGGGGGCTAGTGAAATCAAGTGGAGATTTATTGTGTTTGGATATTTTTTTCTTCTTCTTTATACTCTCAAAATGTGACCACTTGCGTAGAATTCAGATATACCTCAACCTCAGAAAAAGCAGAACAGTCTCTATGTGTCATTTCCCTGAGGTGTTGCAATTTCTATGCATGCACAAAATTCCAAGCATTCAAGCAAGAGGGTTGGAGGGGTAGAGGAGAAGTACACACACTGAATTGACATAATTTACTCCCAGATAATCTCAACGACAGGACACTAGCTCACAGCAGCCTTGGTTCCTCTTCTTTTTTGGGATGTGTGGTGTAGTGGTTTAGACTAGTAACTAGAAGCTTACTAGTTTGATCTCTACATGTTGCAAGCACTTAACTTCAACCCAGCTCAAAGCATTCATAATGTCCAGTTTTTTAAATGTTTAAAAAGCGTTTGAGACAACATTAAGGGAAAGTTCCATTTTCATAACTGATCAAATGTTATGGGAATTTTATTTTTGAGTGTTCTCTGAATCAACTGAAACTAGTAAATTAATAACATTTAAAAAATGTTAGAGGAATGTTCAACTAAAATGTTTCATAAAAATGTATAAATAATCTTGTGCTGATGTTTTGAGAATGTTATTATATAACTATAAAAATATATAACTTTGAACAAATGTTCTGTTGGCATTACTGGAAGAATGTTTGTTCACAACTTTGAGAGAATCTTGCAAGTACATTAGCTAAAGTTCTGAGAACATTCTCTGTTATCTGGGTAGTTGCTCCAGCAAGAGTCTCCGTAAATAGTTCATGCCATTCAAATCAGACGGTGTTCAAAAGTTTGGGGTCAGCAGGATTTTTTTTTTTTAAAGAATGAATACTTTTTTTCAGCAAGGATGCATTAAAATGATCAAAAGTTACAGTAAAGACATTTATAATGTTACAAAAGATTTCTAATTCAAATAAATACTGTTTTTTTTTTTACTTTCTGTTTATCAAAGGAACCTAAAAAAAATTGTCTCTGTTTCTACAACAATATTAAAGGGTTAGTTCACCCAAAAATGAAAATTCTGTCATTAATTACTCACCCTCGTGTTGTTCCAAACCCGTAAGACCTTCGTTCATCTTCGGAACACAGTTTAAGATATATTTGATGAAATCTGAGGGCTCTCTGACCCTCCCATAGACAGCAAGGTAACTACCACGTTCAAGGTCCAGAAAAGTACCAAGATGATCGACAAAGTAGTCCGTGTGACATCAGTGGTTCAACTGTAAAGTTACGAAGCTACGAGAATAATTCTTTGCACAAAGAAAACAAAAATAACAACTTTATTCCACATTTTCATCTCTACTGCGTCACTTTGGATGCGCGTTCACGACAGTATCATAACGCGAGCGTGTGGCGGCGCCTTCTTTGTGCAAAAAAGTATTCTCGTAGCTTCGTAACTTTACAAAGCCACTGATGTCATACGGACTACTTTGTCGATCATCTTGGTACTTTTCTGGACCTTGAACGTGGTTGTTACCTGGCTGTCTATGGGAAGGTCAGAGAGCCCTCAGATTTAATCAAAAATATCTTAAATTGTGTTCCGAAGATGAACGAAGGTCTTACGGGTTTGGAACAACACGAGGGTGAGTAATTAATGACAGAATTTTCATTTTTTGGGTGAACTAATTCTTTAAGCAGCACAATGTTTTCAACCTTGATAATAATAAGAAATAATGTTTCTTCAGTACCAAATCAGCATATTATAATGTTGGAGAATGGACTGAAATTCAGCTTTGCCATCGCAGGAATAAATACGTTTTCGGTCATTTATAATATTCAAAATACATTTTTTAATATATTCAAATAGAAAATTGTAAAAAATATTTCAAAACACTAGTGTTTGTAAACTAGTGTTTGGTAACTGTAAACTTTTGAAAGGTAGTGTAACTGTAGAGCATGTGGCTAGTTGTATTAAAAAGATTACTACATTTCTGCAGTGTAAATACTGGTAAAAATATTCTATCTGTAATTGTGGTAAATATCTATCTGTAATTGTGATGAGGTATGAAAAAAGCAGGAATTATATAATGTTTCTGTCTCCTATTGTTGGCAGTAATTTGTTGGTGACAGTCGGAGATGACCGCATGGCTAAAATGTGGGACGTGAGAAAAACCTACATGCCTCTTTTGGCAGTAAAGCGCTGCTTGTCCCCTGAAGTGTACTGGCCCCTCTTTTGGAGCGGCATCCTGATGGCTCAAGAGTGTTGCTTTGCTACGTCAGTCCACAAACATTTTGCTCTTCTGAATATATGATGTTTTAAAATCATATTTTTACTAAATCATCATTTTCCTTTGCTATGTGTAGGTTTGGACAACATGGAGTTCACTATTTTGATTCAGGTTACCTTGGAATCAAGCCTTACTTTGTATGTCCTAGAAAAGCCACTATTTGGGTATGTAGACATTTCACAGTGTCTCTACATCAGGGGTGCCCAAACTCGGTCCTGGAGGGCCGGTGTCCTGCAGAGTTTAGCTCCAAC